GTATCCAAAAATTAAGGAAACTAAATATTTGAAATCTTTATTATAATTCTAAAAAGATCTCGCATCTATGGAAAGCAAATATCTTGTTACATTAAATTTTGTAGAATTTATAATACTTATTCTGCCTTTTTCAGAATTCAGCAAATTTTCGACTTTCAGAATTCAGAAAAAGCTTGATAAAAGGATAGAAAAAGCGAAAACGTACGTAACTTACAAAAAATTGGATAAAAATTCGAAAATCCACCAAAGAAATCGCCACGAATTAGAGAGTTAAGAACCCTTCAAACCCANAATTTCTCAGTCAAAAACTACCCAAATTTATTCTTNTTCGGTGGTTCAGTGGACAAAATCTTCGCAGCTCACANAACAGAGCTTCTCATTGTAGNCAAAAACAGAAAAGGTTGAACTTTGTTTTTTGCAAGACTAGATTCATTCTTCTGTAGTTAAAATTGCAGCCGTAGAAGAAATAAAGATGTCGATGGTAGAATTAGGGTAATTACCCCCAATTTAAGTTTACCTTATGTAAACCTTTTCTATCAGATAGAAGGTTTTAAAAAAAGAAGTCATGTGGATTTAGAAAAGGAAGGCAATTTAAAATTTAAAAATAATTAAATATTTTTTTATAAAAATAATTCTATTAACAAAATCATGGGCATAAACGGATTTTCATCTAAATTAAAGTATAGTTCACCAAAAATCACAAATAAAGGTATAGATGGACAAAGCGCAAAAAAACATCCTTGATTTTCAATTTTCCCTTTTTTTTTATAATTATTTTTGTACTTCCACCAAATGTTTCGGCGAATAGAGTTTGTATCTATTTACGGAACGTAAAAAAAAATTTCCAATTCCGCGGAAAGTCAAATTTATTTATTTATTACAAGAATCTTAAATTTGTTACGATAAAAAATCTACACGAAAAATATTTTACTGCAGATCTTGAATACTTATCGACTATCGTGGTGGGATCTTACAATGTCTGCCAGATCATTCAGTATCCTTTTTTTTTGGTCGGGATCATTAATGGAAGCAAAACAAAACAGAAATTCGCTTGTTAGAAACTTGATTCAAATGAACAAAGAAAAACATTTTTGGAATTTCCAGTTAGGCATGCCGCAATTTGTTTCCTTTTTTGATAACCTTCTCTTCAATCTAATACTAGTATGATGTTCATCGCTAGCTAAAAGAAACAAAGCATAGAAATGTTGGTATTATTATATACACTAACTACCCAAGTAGCTTTAAAAAATGGAAGGTTTGAAAGTACATCATTTAGAAGTGTTTTTTTGCTTCTAGATCTTTCAGTAATTGAAAAATAGTTGAAGACTTCAAATTTGAATTGAACTGGACTTGAAGTATAAACTTTCCTATTAAAAAAAAAAAAGTATAAACTTTCCTGTTTAATTTTCATGGCAAGTTGTTCGTTTGTGTCAGCATACACACACACAACAACAAAAGTA